TTTTATCATGACATGCTCCTAGATATACCTTCTTTAATTTTTTCATAGACATGTTGCTAGATGTAAGATTATCCTCGTCCGACTTTTCAGGAGTAGACCTTTTACCAGGAGGTTCGCTTATCGACTTAGAATATGCCGATGACATTGTCCTACTTGGTGAAGATGCTGACGAAATGCAGTCTCCTGACCATCCTAAGCAACAACGCAAGCATGTTCGGGATGCGGTTTTCCCCGTCGAAATGCAAAATGTTGCTTCAAGATTGGGTTGCATCGGCACCTGAACTAGTGATAGGGAGTGAAGTAGTTGAGCGTGTAGGCCGCTTCAGGTATCTGGGGAGTCTCATCAGTGGTGATGGCCTGGTAACTGACGAAATCTCAGCTCGGATACAGAAGGCTCGATTGGCTTTTGCCAATCTGCGTCATTTATGGCGTAGGCGAGATATCCGTTCGCTAACCAAAGGACGGGTGTACTGCGCAGCAGTTCGCTCTGTCCTAATATACGGATGCGAAACATGGCCGTTAAGAGTAGAGGACATTCTTAACTTACTAGTTTTCGATCATCGGTGTCTCCAAAGCATTGCTCGTATTTCGTGGGACAACCGAGTAAGCAATACTATCGTTAGGAAACGAGTTCTAGGTAAGGATGGCAAATCAATAAATGAAGCACTGAAACTTCATTAGTTGAAGTGGTTGGGACATGTGTTACGAATGCCTAACCACCGACTGCCTCGACGAGCTATGTTTTGTGGTGTAGGAGTAGGTTGGAAGAAAGTTAACGGCGGTCAGATCAAAACATGGCAGAAATCAACGAAGTCAATGACAAGTGGACTGAGTCATGTTGGTAAATGTAGGCTATCTGGTTAGGGTCCGCGAGACGATAGTCATCGATGGTTAGAGACCTTAAACGACATTGCTCAGAATCGTTTGCAATGGCGGAGGTGCATGCACTCTTAGTGTTCTATGAAATTCTAAGCTTCTGAATTCCTCATAATCTCTATCTTTCTCCTTCTAAATTTATCTCACTGAATTAATTCTACTATCGCTATCACTCTTGAATTTGAACTGACAGTTACGTCTCTGTGCTGACGTGGTATGACAACCTGAATTGATGTACTTACGTACGAAGTTCTGCATTGTATCTGTCTGTCTGTCTGTCTGTCTATCATAAAATTCAAGATTTTATTGTACATACAATGAAACAAATTTTTTTTTTGTTACCAAAAAAGACATTCCGTAAACAATAATATACAAATATTTATAACACGTGACATTGGACAAATAGACATAGATTTTGATCATTTTTGTCTATTGATTGATTTGTCAACATTTTACTAGTTCCAAATGAAGAGCAATTTTTGATATGATAAGTCATAGTAGTAGTGTGTTGCGCGCTACTTATAAGTAGTATATGACGTGAGTGTCAACGTAATGTCTGGCAGCAGAAGATGGGGCAAGATCAAGAAAGGAAGAGTTAGAAGAACACAATGGAATTTGTATGAAACGCATGAATAGTGAAATGTCAGACAATGGATTGATGATGGATTGAAGATTTGCAAATTACGCGTTTACGATATGGTTTTCCAATTTTACTGAATAACTCTGTAATTTTCGTTAAATACAATTCGGTTGCCCTCACCGGTGTTCTCCTTCACTACAATAGTAGTAGTTCCGTAGACATTTTATCTACTATAAAAAGCCATACTAAGAAATTGATGGGCATTAAATGTTTACATAAGCCTATATTATAGCATGAATAACAATGTAAACATTTTAAAAAAGACCATCGCATTTTTGGTATGACAAAAAAAAACTTGAAGTCATTTCCAAAATAAAAGTGTGTTTTCTTTTTTCTGATTGTCTTCAAAATCATTAAATACTGTGAGTATGCCGTTTATAAATCGTCCAAAAAACAAAAACAAACAGCAACTGTCATTTCTTGCATATCAGATGTTGTACTAACGTGCAAAGTTCTACGCTGCTGTTGCTGTTGATAATGATAACTTGACTATCAAATATACCATCATTGTTGTGTATATTTGATTCGGACCAATTCGGTCTTGCGTGCTGTTACGTGTATGAGGGCGGTCGTTCACTTGAAATCACTGACAAGTGGACTGAGTCATGTTGGTAGGTGTCGACTAACGGAATGGGGTCTGCGAGATGATAGTAATCAATAATTAGAGACTTTGAATGACATGGCTCAAAATCGTTTGCAATGGCACAAGTGCATCCATGCTTTGAGCTCTCTCAAATTCTAATCTTCTGGAATCGTCAGCACCTCTACCTTTGTCTTTCTAACCTTATCTCACTGAATGATACTTCTTGAATAATGTCTTCGAACCCTAGTCTTCTTCATTACCATTAATACCTCTACTATGTTTATCACTATGGGATTTGATTTGACATTTGCGTCTCTGTGCTAATGTGGTATGGCAACATGAACTTATGTACATACTTTCGAAGTTCCACGTTGCAACTGACTGACTGTGTATATTTGATTCATTAAAAACAAAATATCCCATAGTTGTTAGAAAATTGATGAATAGAACACTTGATTTTCATTATTAGATAATATCAAATTGTTTCAATGTCTTAAGAATTAGTTCCAATCAGTGGCCCGACCGTAGCTGCTACCTTGACGTGGTGGTCGGGCTTGCCTATCGTGATGACCCAACCAGGCTATATTGGCTGTAACTTATGTTCCTGAAGGTTCTACCATGCCGGGCAGGTTGATTGGAGAACGATGAGACCAAAAGCAGCTACCCAAGGTCTGAGGGTGAAGTCGTACTGCTGACTGCAGAGGGGTGGGACAGCCGTAAGGTGTTTCCCTCGGATAGCCATCATCTGCAGCGATGCTGCCTTCTCACAAGGAGGGAAGGGTTAGAAAAGGTCGACCCTAAAAATGTCACACCTCACCCTACCTCACGGATTTCCGTCTCCTTGGGTAAGGGTGCCCACTAAGGGCTTTCAAGAGCGGAGCTAACCCTCAAAAAACCTTTCATAAAAAGGCTGTGCGTGACCGGCCTCAATCAGTTGTCCCTTGGGCTCTGCGATCACGCACCCAGGTCTCTAAGACTAACGCTAATCTACCTTCCTTTTCAGGTTCCTCAGGAAACAACCTTCCAAGGTGTGGGCAGCCGGGAAGTGACAACCGCCCTCATACCCGTAACAGCACACGAGACCGAATCGGTCACAATCAAAATCAATAAGTGGTAGTTTATCCTTGACATCAGTTGTATTTTAAGTTCCAACAATATGCTCTTCAGAATAATCAATGTTTTTTGATAATTCATGGAGATAAACCAATGATAGAATTTGTTTAATGATGTTGGGGGCGACATTAGATCCTCACAATTCACTTGACTTAGGTCCTAGTTTTGGATTTTTGGAGTTTTCGCGCATCGGCGGATCAGCTGACTTTGAGATTACATTTCCCATCAGGAAAATCCTTGATGTATTGTTTTAGTAGACTATTTTTGTGTCTCTCCCAAGGACGTTTCGATCATGTATAAAATAAACTCGATTTGGGTGCTTGTACAATACACTTTTTACGTCTTATCAAGACTTCTTCTTCATCGGATTAGAGTAGCTTATTGTGTCACTGAATCGAATTGTCTTCGCTCTCGTTTACCGACTAAAAGGTGAACTCGTGATCATAACATTCAAGCATATCAACCAGCTAGTGACGAGCATAACAATAACTTACGAAAAAAATTTTTTTTTAATGTTACTGTGTTGCGCGCTACTTATAAGTAGTATATGACGTGAGTGTCAACGTAATGTCTGGCAGCAGAAGATGGGGCAAGATCAAGAAAGGAAGAGTTAGAAGAACACAATGGAATTTGTATGAAACGCATGAATAGTGAATGACAGTGGATTGATGTTTTTTTGCAACAGGAACAACAGTCCAGTTCGATAATATGATGAATTGATATTTTGCAAATTAACACGATTTACGATATGGTTTTTCCAATTTTACTGAATAACTCTGTAATTTTCCGTTAAATACAATTCGGTTGCCCTCACCTGTGTTCTCCTTCACTACACCTTGACTGTTGTTAGTTGATGTATTAATTGAGTACACTATGTTTGTGTCTCTTCCAGGGACGTTTCTATCATATATAAAATAAACTCGATTTGTGTGCTTGTAGAATACACTTTTTACGTCTTATCAAGACTTCTTATTCATCTACTTCATGGGGTGTTGGAATTTGAGTAGCCTATCACGTCAATGAATCGAATTGTCTTCGCTCTCGTTTACCGAATAAAAGGTGAACTCGTAATAATAACATTCAAGCATATCAAGCATAGTGACGAGCATAACAATAGTCAGTCAGTCAGATGCAACGTAGAACTTCGTACGTAAGTACATTAGTTCATGTTGCCATACCACATCAGCACAGAGATGTAATTATCAATTCAAATCCAATAGTAGAAGAGGTAGTAAACGTATCACAAGTAATCGGAGAGGTTAGGATTAAAAGATAATATTCAAGAAGTATGATTCAGTGAGATAAGGTTAGAAAGTCAAAACTAGAGGTGTTGAAGAATCCAGAAGATTAGGATTTGAGAGAACACAAAGAATAAATGCACCGGCGCCATTGTGAACGATTTTTTAGCCATGTCATTCAAGGTCTCTAACCATCGATTATTATCATCTCGCGGACCCCAACCAGGTGGTAGTCGACAATTACCGACATGGCTAAGTTCACTCGTCAATGAATTTATGGATTTCTGCGATGTTTTGGCCTGGCCGCCCCTAGGCATACGCAACACATGTCCCAACCATCTCAACTGATGAAGTTTCATCACTTCATCGATTGATCTGCCATCCTTACCTAGCATAACAATAACTAACGAAATATTTTATAAAATGTTACTGCTCGAATTGATTGAATATCAGATCAGTTACACATGCCTTTATATTCTCTTTTTTTTTTACTGACAATAACATAACATTACTGTCTTTGCTTTTCATTTTATAAACCCAATCAATGAAGTTCTGTATATATATATATTTACAAAAGGAGAATACACCTAATTGAATGATGACCAATAGCAACAGCAACAGTAATAGCACTGGCAACTTTCTACTTGATGATCAAGTTCCTATTGAAGCTGTACGTTGGTTTTATTTTCGTCGTTCTGGTAGTGTCAATACATGGAAACCATTTTGTGGTTATGATACAATACGTCTTGAAACAGCATATCGTCAACGTGTTTTACATGGTAGTACAGATCTGAATTATGCGAAAATTGTTGTACGTGGTGAAATGTTTGAAGTCGATATGGAAAATGGTTTATGTATACCAATTTATTGGTTTGGTAAAAAACGTTCTATACATAGTAGTAAACGTAAAACATGGTGTTCCACACAAGTGACACGTTCTGTATGGTTTCAAAAAATTAATTGGTTACCATTGGATAGTAAATTATCAGAATTAATTGAATATGAACATTGTACATATGCTATGCCGAAATTGAAAGAGATTACAAAAAAAAGTCATAAACGTAAGAGTTTTTTTTTGTTTTTGACAAATTATTGTAACTTACTTACTTACTTACTTATTTACGCCTGTTACCCCCAAATGGAGCATAGGCCGCCCACCAGTTTTCTCCAACCAACTCTGTCCTAGGCTTCTCTCTCCAGTTCTGTCCAATGTTTGTTCATTCCTCTCATATCTTTCTCTATTTCTCGGCGTAGTGTGTTCTTTGGCCTTCCTCTTTTCCTTTTTCCTTCAGGGTTCCATGTGAGGGCTTGTCTTTTGATGCATTTAGGTGCTTTTCGTAGTGTGTCTGCTATCCACTTCCACCGCTTCTTCCTGATTTCCTCCTCTTCCACTGGAATCTGGTTTGTTCTCTCTCACAGTACGTTGTTGCTGATCGTGTCTGGTCAATGAATCCGAAGTATTTTGCGTAGACAACTGTTATTAACACTTGTATCTTCTGGATGATAGCTTTGGTAGTTCTCCAGGTTTCCGCTCCATACAGTAGAACTGTCTCAACATTTGTATTGAAAATCCTGATTTTGGTTTTGGTTGAAAGTTGTTTGGAGTTCTAGGTATTTTTCAACTGTATAAATGCAGCCCTTGCTTTGCCAATCCGTGCCCTCACATCTGCATCGGATCCACCTTGGTTGTCGATGATGCTGCCCAGATATGTAAAGTTGTTAACGGCCTCCAAGGCATCTCCATGAAGAGTGATTTGGTTGGTGCATGTTTTGTTGCATCGGAGAATTTCGCTTTTTCTTTTATGTATGTTGAGACCTACGCTTGCTTAAAATAATTCCCAGCTAATTCTTATTGCTTAGTATTATTCTCTGACCACACAATACACTGGATAAGTTCCAAAGAATTAGTAAAAAACACGGTTGAACAGAAAAAAAGATTATATTCCAAATAGCATGGTTAGGTGGAAATAAAAAGCCGAAGGCTAAGATGGCCGAAAATCGATACAACGTTAGGGTTTAGTTATAGCACTTACATGAGAAGCTTCTGGATTGATTAGATTTAGCCAATCAGCGCGCAGCTAACAACAACACGAAAATCTTCTATCCTATTCTCCAAAAATCGATCAAGCGCTGATTGGATTAGCAAAATTAGCCAATCAGCGCGCAGCTGACTCAATCATGCTTTCATTCCATCTATGTCCCACAAACACACACAAATATAATTTTTATTTTTTTTTTTGTTTTCTACATTTTTACAGCTATTCATAAATATCAATCGAATAATCATGAAATTAAATGGATGCCAGATGGTACTATATATTTAGTCACTAAAACAGCGGAACCATTCGGTAAAGTTCGATTACATGGCGGATTAAGTGAGTGTTTATTATTTGATGACGCTAACTGATTAACCGATTAACGTTGGAAATAGAAAACCATGTTCATCGATCACAAAACACATAATTGAGACAGGGCATAAGATTGACGACATCAAGACAGCCTTCAAAACATTGTATAGAAATGTTGAAAGACGAATTTTGAGGTTTATAGAGGGAGGCCTTGGCTATTAGTAAATTAAAACCACCGCCCTTATGTGTGCAGAAACAATTTGTCATAACCTTGAATTTACCTTGGTAATCTTTAAGCCTGCTGAGGAGTCCCATACCAGGACGAAACGGCCGTCCAGTGCTTCCACGTTTGAATAGAGAAATAAGAAGACATATTTTGTGAGATAGTACCATTTCGTGCTTTCTCGTGCTTCCACGTTTCTAATGGTGGTCTAACATTGATCGATTCATGGTTTCAAAAATGTGTAACCAGACAATCTTCACAACCCCGTAATGCCAGGGGTGACAATTTTCCTACCCCTTCTTATTGATTTCATATTACGTTAATTTTCTCTCTCCTTTATTGACAATTATCACCCTATGTCTATTTGAACTTTTATTTAATTGACCTTTTATTCATTATCATATGAAATGCCTTGACAAGTGTATACATATGTGTGACCAGATTGTTCGAACAGTGTATAGCGCGCAAATACATCACATTTTTCAGATCAATTACGTCTTCTCACTGTTCTATCAAAATTTATAAAAGGGACTAATTGTTTTAAAGATTTTTTCTTTCTGCTTTTCTTTCAAGGTAGTGTTCCAATCAATAGAGGATTTAATCGTCTAGCAGATATTCATGATAGACCACCGCCTATTACACATGTTTGTTTTGTTGTTCATGGGATTGGACAACAATTGGCTAGTATACGACATGAATGTGCTAAGTAGGTGTTTGGTTTTGGTTTTTTTCGGTTTTTCCCCCTAGTTAAATAAATTGGTTCAATGTTCAATTAAATTCAACAAACGGAATGTTTCACTGTTCATTGATTATGCTTTTTTTAAATTAAGGTTATGGAGATGATTATTGTTTGTGCACATTAATATCATCAGTCATTTACTAGTGAGAAGATGTGATCAGTGAAGTTCAACCACCCTGTCGGGTGTAGGCAATAACTATTGAAAATAAATGGGTGAAGTGGCGCACAAGCCCTTAGATTGATCAAAGTTATACATTAACACCGTTGGATGACGCCCGACGCACTAGTCCAAAGGTTAGGCGTTCGCATGCAAAACTGAAGGTCCCCGGCTGGAGTCTTGGGTGCGCACATCTGATGAGTGACAACACCAGGGCAAAATGACCGCTTCGTGCTTCCAGGTTTTCGATGGTGATCTAAATATGATTGGTTGATGTTTCCAGTGTGTTAATTTATTACTGTTTACACCAGTTGACTAATCTTAGTATTAGAAATCCATTGAGCATCGAGAAGTAATGGATAATCGTTTGAGAAATTAAGTAGTGTATATCCATAATCCTAATTAGGTCCAAAGCCAAAACTTTCACGTTTTCTAGTGAACATTTAACCTTTAGATGATCTGATTTCACATCAACTATACAACATGAATTCGGTTGCAATAGTTTTCTATTTCTACTAGTAGTTAACTGATTCACACTGGACTTGGTTGAACTTCATTGATCCACAGTCTATCAAAAGGGAGAGAACTTAGGAGTCATTTGTCGAAATCACTTGTTCTTCAATAATCATACAAAGTGATTTTCGCTTTTGTATAATGTATAATTGTTACGTCTGCACGTAAATACGTCATTTTGATCTGCTTGAGCTATTACGAATATATCCTTAGTCGGAAAACGAGAGCGAGGATCGAGGATCCGATGACACGACAGGCTACTCAAATCCGATTATCCCAACCCCCATGTTGAGTAAAAATAAGAAGACTTGATATGAAATAGAACTTGTATTCTACAAGCATCCAGAAAGTACGAGGTTCGAATCCAGGAGAGAACCAAGATCCCGGACTAGAGATCCGGGACCTGGTCCTAGCCCTAGTCATAAAACGTTACAGATAATGCGTATTTATACATTTTGGTCGAACAGGAAACAGCATCGAAGTGTGTGACAAATCGGCAGTTAAGACGACCAATAAGAAGCAACATTGGAGCACGTGACATTGACATCTAGGACGACCATAAAATTGACCAGTAGGAATTAGCCAATAGGAATTGACCAATAATTCTCTTAGGATATTGGATGAATAATATCCTAACCATAATAAAGCTACGAAAAAGAACTTCAGATCAGTAAAAATATGTGTTTATCAAATGTAATTTGTTACTTACTTACCTACTTACCCAAACTTATTTATTTATATAAAGATATAATTCACTGTGAATCGTAAAATGGCCAATGTGAAACCATCATTAAGAACTCGAAAGTATTGAATGGCTGTTTCATCCTACTCTATGACTTATCAGCCATGTACATCGATGACGACCCTTACACTAAGGCAATCCAAGCCAGAACCTTCGATCTGGTGTGCTAGCGAATGCTTAACCTTTATAGACCACTGAGTTGGCATCCTATGATGTATAACATATAAATATGTGCATTACGGGGTTGTGAAGATTGTTAGGTTACACATTTTTGAAACCATGAATCGACCAATGTTAGACCACCAATAGAAACCTGGAAGCACTTAAAGACGACCGTTTCGTCCTGGTACGGGACTCCTCAGCAGTGTGCATCCGCGACTTCTGCACCCTGCAAAATCCGAACCCAGAACCTTCGGTATTGTGCGCGAACGCCTAAGCACCGGACCACTGAGCCGGTTCCTAACGGTGTTAATTAATATGTAACTTGATCAAATTCACGGAGTTGCGCAACCTCATACACAGTCTTCGGTAGACAATGCCTACACCCGAACAGGTTGAACTTCACAGGCCACATCTTCCCACTAGAACTCGGAGAAGATTCCTCACGAAGCTAGTCACTAGTGAGCACAGGTAATTTGCATTACGGGGTTGTGAAGATTGTGGATTTGATCAAGTTAGACATTAACACCGTTAGATACCGGCTCAGTAATCTAACGGTTAGGGCGTTCGCGCACAATACCGAAGATCCTGGGTTCGAATGCTGCGAGGTGCAGGAATCGTGGATGCGCACTGCTAATGATGAGTCCCATACCTGGACGAAACGGCCGTACAGTGCTTCTTACAGGTTTCTATTGGTGGTCTAACATTGATCGATTCATGGTTTCAAAAAATAGAAATATGTCATTTGAATTATTTATTGATTTATCTAAACGTTACCTTGTTTTTACCCTCTCTTTGTCTCTCTCTCTCTATTTTATGCAGAATAAGAAAAACATGTCAAAAAGTTGCCGAAAAACTTTATCCAAAATTATCTGAAACAAGACAACGTCTTGAATTTATCCCAGTCAATTGGCGTAGTTCATTATCATTGAATTCAAAAACATTAGATAATGTCACTGTGACACAATTACGTCCATTACGTGATTATATTAATCAAAGTTTCGTTGATATATTATATTATACCAGTCCAGTATATCGTAATGTGATAATGCAAAGTTTAAGTTATGAATTAACACGTTTATTTAATTTATTCTGTATAAAAAATTCACAATTTTTACAACGTGGTGGACAAATCTCTGTGTTGGCACATTCACTTGGTAGTGTTATAATGCATGATATATTACGTACAAATGAACCGAAACTGGCAAATTCTGTATTTAATTCATTAACAGTAAGTGTATGAACAACAATACTTGAAATTGATTTTAGCATTGTATTTTGTACAAAATGACAGTCAGTTTAACATCCATGAACTTGCAAGATTATTCTACTGATTGAAAGTGAAACATTAGTCAGTGAGATGCAACGTAGAACTTCGTACTACATAAGTACATCAGTTCATGTTGCTATACCACATCAGCACAGAGATATTAATTGTCAATTCAAATCCAATAGTAGAAGAGGTAGTAAAGGTATTAGAAGTAATCGGAGAGGTTAGAATTAGAAGATATTATTCACGAAGTATGATTTAATGAGATAAGTTTAGAAAGTAAAAGCTAGAGGTGTTGAAGAATCCAGAAGATTAGGATTTGAGAGAACACAAAGAATAAATGCATCGGCGTATTTGCAAACAGTTTTGAGCCATGTCATTCAAGGTCTCTAACCATCGATTATTATCATCTCGCGGACCCCGACCAGGTAGTCGACACCTACCGAAATGACTTGATCCACTCGTCAATGACTTTACAGATTTCTGCCATGTTTTGGTTTGGCCGCCCCTAGCTTTCTTCCAAACTATTCTTACACTACAAAACAAAACTCGACGAGGCAGTCGGTGGTTAGGCATACGCAGCACATGTCCCAACCACCTCAACTGATGAAGTTTCATCACTTCATCGATTGATCTGCCATTCTTACCTAGCACCCGTTTCTTAATAACAGCGTTGCTTATTAGGGTGTCCCGCGATATACGAGCGATGCTTCGAAGACACCTATGATCAAAACCAGTAACCTACGAATATCTTCTACTCTCACTGGCCATGTTTCACAGCCATAAATTAGGACGGAGCGAACCACTGCACAGTACACTCGTCCTTTATTCAGCAGACGGATATCTCACCTGCGTCATAGGTGACGCAGTTTTGCAAAAGCCAATCGAGCTCTCTGTATCCGTGCTGAGATTTCGTCAGTCACCAGGCCATCGGCACTGATGAGACTCCGAAGATAAGTGAAGCGGTCTACACGTTCGACTACTTCACTCCCTATCACTAGTTCAGGTGCCAATGCAACCCGGTGTTGAAGCAACATTTTGCATTTCGAGGGGGGAAACCGTATCCCGAACATGCTTGCATTGTTGCTTAGGGTAGTCAGAAGAATCTGCATTTTTTCAGCGCCTTCATTCACCATTCAATGCTAATTCATTGTTATCTAGAGCTTCATTATGTGAAATCGACGGTCGTCAGTTCGATTTTTCGGCATGCAAGGTTTGTGGATGTACACAGTGCTGGCGGATGAGTTCTATGCATAGACGAAGCAGATGTCCGGTGAATACGTTTGGTTTGGTTGTATGGTCAACATAATTAACTTAACACATTTAAAACCATCAATCAATCATTGTTAGACCACCATTAGAAACCTGGAAGCACTGAAAGACGGCCGTTTCGTCCTGGTATGGAACTCATCAGCAGTGCGCATCCCTGTCCAGTGCTTCCAGGTTTCTAATGGTGGTCTAACAATGATTGATTGATGATTTCAAATGTGTAAAAACACAAACCTCCAAAACTCTGCCCGAAAATATCGTAACAGTGCTCACTAGTGAATAGCTTCGTGAGGAAATTCTCGGAGTTCTAGTTAAGAAGACGTGACTAATGGAGTTCAACCCTGTGGAGTGTAGGCACTAAATACCAAAGACAAATGGGTGAGATCGCGCAAAATCCCCAGATCAATCAGAGTTAGACATTAACACCGCTGGATGCCGGCCCAGCGGTCCAATGGTCAGGCGTTCGCGCACAATACCGAAGGTCCTGTGTTCGAATCCTGCGAGGTGCGGGAGTCGTGGATGCGCAATGCCTCTGATGATTTCCAAAGCAGGACGAAACAGCCATCTTTCAATGCTTCCAGGTTTCTTCTACTAATGGTAGTCTAACAATGATTGATTGATTGGTAATTTCAAATGTGATTATTACTTATTCATCAGATTAAATTGATAATAGATTGAGCAGATTTTTATCCAAAAAAAACAAAATGAAACGAAACATCTTGTCATCATTTTCATTATTGTTACATGAGATTCTCTGTGTGTGGCTGTGTGTGTCTGTGTGGTGTAGTAACACAAATTTTTCTCAGTTATGCAGTTTGATAAAAAAATGATGGAAAACGGTCTTTTTTCCAACCAAAAAAAAGCATGAAAATATTGTCATCATTGGAATGGAAAATCAAGTGTGTGAAAAAAATCGTTTATTTCATGTGTCATATGAAAAATGAAGTCAAGATTAGATGCATGATATGTATATATATATTTATTTATATATATTTAGTGAAAATACCGTTAGTCTACGAATTATGTACGTTTTAGTCTTCAATTATTGACATTACATACAATCTAAATAGGTTTTATAACAGTCTTCTCTCTCTCATGATCGTTTGTTTATGTTCCTTTCAAAATATCACTGATTATGGCTTCATACATTTTGATCGCTTGAACCCTGTTCTCTACTGCATACTAGCTACGCTTACGGCCGTTCAATGTCAGCAACACATCCATCACATAAGAATAATAACCTTGATGATGTTGTAATGATTAAAAGATATTTTTTCGCGTGATTTTTAAGAATTAAGCAGTGTTATTTTTAAATGATTATTCTAATGATTTTGATGAGATAGATATATTTGATGAAAATATTAGTTACTTACTTATTGACTTACTTACTTACTTACGAGTTATTTTTATACGGGCTGTGATCGTCAACCCTACGGTCGATCCTCCTATTTTTATTCAGGCTTGGGACCGACAACAGCACCAAGGCGTATTTTTAATTTTGGGGCAGAGTTTTGGAGGTTTGTGTTTTTCTACACATTTGAAATCATCAATCAATCATTGTTAGACCACCATCATTAGAAACCTGGATGCACTGGACGGGGATGCGCACTGCTGATGAGTCCGATACCAGGACGAAACGGCAGTTCAGTGCATCTAGGTTTCTAATGGTGGTGGTTTAACAATGATTGATTGATGATTTCAAATGTGTAAACAAAACACAAACCTTCAAAACTCTGCCCGAAAATATCGTAACAGTTCTCACTAGTGACTAGCTTCGTGGGGAAATTCTCGGAGTTCTAGTTGAGAGTTCAGCCCTGTCGGGTGTAGGCAGTAACTACCAGAAACAAATGGGTGAGGTCGCGCAAAATCCGTAGATCAATCAGAGTTAGACATTAAAACTGTTGGATGCCGGCCCAGTGGTCCGAAAGTCCCGAGTTCGAATCCTGCGAGGTGCAGGAGTCGTGGATGCGCACTGACTCTGATGATTTCCAAAGCAGGACGAAACAGCCGTCTTTCAATGCTTCCAGGTTTCTTCTAATGGTGGTCTAACAATGATTGATTGATGATTTCAAATGTGTAGAAAAACACAAACCTCCAACAATCTGCCCGAAAATAAATAATTTTTATTGTCAAAATAATTTTAATCAAAATTATATGTGAATGAATTAATTTTTTTGATTTATTAAAATGTTCTTTGTAAGTTAATAATGAATTTTTGTTCGTGGTGGTGGTGTTTGGTCCTCTGAGCTGGATGCTGTTTTGGTTGTGGAGCTTACGTCATTGTTCTTCTTCTGAACAACATCATCAGTACAAACTTCAGATAGAAGTGAAGCATACTGGGTAGGGGGAGGACAAAGTGTACTCAGGTTGGCACTCAGGTCAATCAGCAGTCAACAAACATATCGACATTGACTCAATTTATCAACCAATCAGGAAAATCATAGCTGACATAGGATCAAGAAACGGATCAACAGGGGGATGCAATCAAAACAAAGGTGCGAACAACGACAGGTTTAAAGTCAATAACAACCAATCAAGATCGAGGTTAGCAGAACAAGCTACAGGTCAAACGTGGAGAAATTCGAATGCTTCACTGCTGCTATCTGAAGCTTGTGCTGATGATGTTGTTCAGAAGAAGAACAATGACGTAAGCTCCACAACCAAACACCACCACCACAATCATCCACCTGAGCTACAAATCTTCTCCACCATCTCAAAATTTTTATTACTAAGTTGTAAATGCATATTCACAGAATAATTTTATATTATAAATAGATAGATAGATATAAATATGTAACTATATATATATACATATTTTTTTATTTCATTTCATAAAGGATTTAAGTTTTACACAATCAGCCCCACCTGAAAATGACTATGGTACAGCTTTATTAAGACAGAGAAAAGGCAGAACACGGTAATTTGATTTGATTTCGTGTTTTGATGTTTGTTTGTTTTTCATTTCTATCACTAAAATCATGAATTAATCACTGTGTTAAATCATCATAAGAAACTTGGAAGCATTGGACGATTGTTTCGTCCCACCTAATGTGTGGGCCTCATCAATGGCATTGCGCATCCACAACTTCTGATTCTTGCACGTGAACGCCTAACCTCCGGACCAATGAACCGGTCGTCATCCAACGGTATTATTATCTAACCCTTATCAATCTGGTCTCATGTGTTGTTACGGGTATGAGGACGGTTATCACTTCCCGGCTGCCCACAACGTGGAAGGGTGTTTCTTGAGGGACCTGTAAAGGAAGGTAGATTATTGTTGGTCTTGGAGACCTGGGTGCGTGACCGCAGAGCCCAAGGGACAACTGCTTGAGGCCGGTCACGCACGGCTTTTATATGAGAATTTTTTTGAGTGTTAGCTCCGCTCTTGAAAGCCCCTAGTGGGCACCCTTACCCAAGGAGACGGAAATCCGTGAGGTAGGGTGAGGTGTGACATTTTTAGGGTCGACCTTTTCTAACCCCTTCCTTCCTTGTGAGAAGCTAGCATTACTGTGGATGCTGGTTGTCCGTTGGAAGCACCTTATGGCTGTAATACTGCTCTACAGTCAACAGTACGACTTCACCGTCAAAACTTGACTAGCTGCTTTTAGTCTCATCGTTCTCCAATCGACCGGCCTGGCATGGTAGAATCTTCAGGAACATAAGTTCCAGCCAATATAGCTTGGTTGGGTCATCACGGTAGGCAAGCCCGACCACCACGTCAAGTTAGCAGCTCCGGTCGGGCCTTATCAATCGTGCACCACCTCACCTATTTATCTTCGGTAGTTGCTGTGTACAGCTGACAGGATAGAACTCCACTAGTCACGTCTTTATTGCAGCTGATAATTTCTCTTAGTATTTCATTTTAACTGTGTAACATTGTAAACGATGATGCGAAATAGTCTAAAGTACAAACTGATCTAAATGATAGTTCGCTGACGAACTGATCGCACCACAGTCGTACCTTGATGAAATTTAAACAACAAAATCATCAGTCAAATATTTGAGTCTTTGGATTAGAGATTATGAAATTAAGGCTTATTCTTTTTTATATGTAAAAATAAATAATCTCAAAAATGTGTAACTTAACAATCTTAACAAACACCCCGTAATGCAAATTACCTGTGCTCAATAGTGACTAGCTTCGTGAGGAATCTTCTCCGAGTTCTAGTGGGAAGATATAACCAGTGAAGTTCAACCTGTTCGGGTGTAGGCAGTGTCTACCGAAGACTGTGTATGAGGTTGCGCAACTCCGCGAATTTGATTAAGTTAGACATGAACACCTTTACATACCGGCTCAGTGGTCTATCGGTAGGGGCGTTCGCGCACAATACCGAATGTCCTGGGTCCGAATCCTGCGGGGTGCAGGAGTCGTGAGTGCGCACTGCCGGTAAGTCCCATACCAGGACGAGAAGGCCGTCCAGTGCTTCCAGGTTTCTTTTAATGGTGGTCTAACATTGATCGATTCATGGTTTAAAAAATGTGTAACCTAACAATCTTCACAACCCCGTAATGCAAATCTCAATGCTGTAAAAGGTCATCTGTAATGTAAATAGATCAGTCAATGAATCTTAGACAATTAAGCTGAGTAAATCTTACCGATAGCATCAATTCCCTTTAATATTACAGTTATATATTATGCGAACGAATACTGAGGAGCACAAAATGTATTTGTAGGATTTCTCGCCATTAAACCGTCTTTAGTAGATAAGTAATTAGTGATCATGAATAGCTGTTAGGATAACTCCTAAAAAGGTTGTGATGAACTACTTCAAATCCTAAATGTTTCTGATAGAACGTCAGTGGACGACGTCATGTTTGGAAGCAACACAAGAATGATTCGCAACTCCATCCCGTCGTCGTCTAAAAACGTGAGTGGCCACAAACGTGTTTCAATGTAGGAGAAAAATTGTTTGTCAACGTGTATCATGGTCAAAATCGATGGGAATCAGAAATAATTGAGAAAGGAATAAGGAAAGTTTTATAAGAAGTGCAAGGAGCCGTCGGAACATACAATCGTCATCTAAATCAAACCCCCATTAAGACAAGTGTTTAATGAACATAGAAGATAGGTGAATCGAGAGCACTCGACTTTCACTTACAAAAGAGCACTCACTAATCAGCAAGGAAACAGAAGAACAGTTTGAAATAAAAACCAACCATCATGGCAAATGTGTCATAAACTTAGCAGTACTCCAACGTTATAAGTGGAGCCTTAAACGAAATCATATTCTAAAGATCTCAACAAGTGGAATTATTTCGGATGACGCACAAAAAGTCCGATGATACCTCTAGAGGCTACCACTGAACCGGAGAGATTCCATTCAGTCGCAGCCCTAGAGGATTTCTACAATTTCGATGTGGCACATAGAATGCTTAGTGGATTGATTATACAACATTGCTGTGTAGTTAATTCCTTGAACAAATGAATTTTAAACATTTCCTATTGTGTGGAATGAAAACTTTATAGGAATATATAAAGTTTACAAAACTTCTAAAATTGGAAATATGAAAGAAGGTTTCACAACATTATGAATAGATTGAAGTTAGACATCAACAGCGGTGAATACCGACTGAGTGATCTGGAGATCAGGCATTCACACATGAAACTGAAGTTCCTATGTTCTATTCTCTGCTGTGTGACGGTTCATAAGTTCCCACTGCCACTGAAGAGTCCTATACTAGGATCAAACCGTTGCTCACTACATCCTCGTTTTCAGTGGTGGTGTGTCATTGATCAGTTCATGATTTCGAAAAAATTCTATAATGTTTGTTGCACATTCAAATCATCAATCAATCATTGTTAGAGCACCGTTAGAAACCTTGAAGCACTGAACGGCCGTTTCGTCCTTGTAGGGGACTCATCAGCAATACAGATTCACGACTCCTGCTTCTAGCACGACTCGAACCCAAGACTTTCCATCTTCCGCACGAACGCCTAACCTCTGGACCACTGAGCTGGTCGTCATTCAACGGTGTTAATGTCTAACTCTGATCAATGTACAGATTTTGCACTACCTCATTCCATACAAGCATATACTGACATTCTATAGTTAACCTCATCATTATTCATCCGATAGTTCTTTAAAACAAACAGCGAGAAGACGTAATTGATCTGAAAAATGTTGTCATGTGTTTGCGCCCTATATATATTTCGAACAATCTAGTCACACATATAGACCCTTGTGAAGGCATTTTACATGAAATTTAGTAAAAAAGGGCCTACAAAAAGATCATTGTAAATAAAGGCAAGGGAGAAAATGAACATAATATGAAAAGAATAAGAAAGGGTAGGAAATTGTCACATTACACCCTAGGCTTAAAGATTATCAGGATAAATTGTTTCTGTACACACATAAGGTGGGGGTTTAATTTACGAATCAATAGCCAAGGCTTCCATAAACCTCAAAATTCGTCCTTCAACGTTTCTATGTAGTGTTTTAGAGGTTGCCTTGATATCAATCTTATGTCCCGTCGCCATTATATGTAAGGAATAATTCGGATATATCTATTTATGTTTACATATACATACATATACTCTTATATTCAACAATCAATATTTCGTTCCGTTCTCTTAGCTTTGAATGTTACGGTTGTGGAGATTACATCATTGTTCTTCTACTGACTAACATCATCAGCAGCAGCATAGACTTTAGATAGAAGAAGTGAAGTATTCAAATTTCTCCACATTTGACCTGTAGCTTATTCTACTAACCTCGATCTTGATTAGTTGCTATTCACCGTAAGGTCAATCATCCACCTGACCTAAAAAAAAATTTCTCCACTATCTCATTATTCCTAATCTTTTGACAGTTTTTTTCATTCACTGACTAGACTCCCTCTTAATTGCAACCACTTTTGGCTTGCTCATATTGGAACATATTTTCTCATTCTACGCTGTGATTCTGCACTGGTATATTTTGTGCATAAACTATATCCTACTTGAAGAAATCATAACAGAATTTTGTGAAGGCTAAACAGCTACAAACATCTAGACTAAGCGTTAAGATAGAATGAGAAAAAGTCGCTGTCGAGTTTTGTATCAATTTGTGCCGATAACTGCGTGTTCTTAAGCTCGATTTATAAATCAGAAGATGAACTCATATTGATGAATACGTTTATTCGAGGCACACCACAAAGCGAAGCGGAGAAGCGAATTGGAGGAGGATAAGAGCCAACTCAAAGAGATAGAACATGACTAAGAATATATAGTCAGACCAAAAATAAGACAGACATATGACAAGCGAAATAGGTATGCACACAAATGAATAAAAGCGACGAATGATTGACAAGGTCAAAAGCAAGCGATACAAATCATGTGAGTTCATGGGAAAATTAAGAGATTAACATTAAAGCAAAAAGGATGAGTAAGTGCGTAGGCGTAAGCAATGCTCACTCGTACAAGCTCATACAAAGCAGATAATAAAAAAATGCCAATGGTACATATGAGTTGTTGCTATACAAATAGCTTGGTTACATAAATTAATCAAAAGGGCTTAAGCAAATTAAATGTAAGCGGATGCAAATAAATGTAGAGGCACTACAAATTAAAGATTTAGATCTGACTTACGGTCGGCATTAGTGACAACACATAATAATTCTATTGGGTACTTTTTTGTGTCTGTCACGTGATTTCGATCAGCACTTGAGAAATAATGACATGTTTGTATTTCATTATATATTATATTCATATATATGTCATGTTATCAATATTCAATTTTCAGTAATTTTACGGATTATTCCAATTCCAAATCGAATGAGTGCATTGCCAATCCAACAAATACTACTAATGATATTGATCGTGATGCTACTTTGAAATGTCCAAATGTAAGCGCGCGCTTATTGATTGATTGATTGATTTATTGATTGATTGACTTAACTATTATTTACTGTGTATATGTCATAAATTCACATGATTCAGTCAGTCAGTCAGTCAGTTGCAACGTAGAACTTCGTACGTATGTACGTACATAAGTTGCCATGTTGCCATACCACCACTACATTATTAGCACACACAGAGATGCAAAAAATGTTCCGTACATTCAATGCTCCAACATGTAGTCTAGAGCGGGGTTTCAGGAGGCAAGAAATGACGTTTCGTGAACTCGCATCGTTTGTATTAGCTGTGCAGTGTGATAAATGAATGTGAGAAGAGTTAGTCGTGGAGATAAGAGAAGTGTTTGTGGGTGTAGGAAGGATTTGATTTTGACCAATTTGGTCTCATGTGCTGTTACGGGTATGAGGGCGGTTGTCAGTTCCTGGCTGCCCACGCCGTGGAAGGTTGTTTCTTGAGGAACCTGAAAAGGAAGGTCTGAACGACCTGAGAGCGTGACCACAGAGCCCAAGAGACAACTGCTTGAGGCCGGTCACGCACGGCTTTTTTATGAAAGGTTTTTTTGATTGTTAGCTCCGCTCTTGAAAGCCCCTAGTGGGCACCCTTACCGACGGAGATGGGAATCCGTGAGGTAGGGTGAGGTGTGACATTTTTAGGGTCGACCTTTTCTAACCCTTCCTTCCTTGTGAGAAGGCAGCATCGCTGCAGATGCTGGTTGTCCGAGGGAAACACCTTACTGTTGTCCAGCCAATATAGCTCGGTTGAGTTATCACGATATGCAAGCCCGACCACCACGTCAAGGTAGCAGCTTCGGTCTGGAAATTCACATGATTAGTACTTATTAATTCTGGGGTTAGATCGGTTTCAAAGCATCACAAAAGTCTGAATCTTTTGAAAAGACTACCATATTGTAAACTCGTGCTATAACTGAAATTCATAGCGTGGAATTGTGCATGTCTCTGAAGTGGTTCATGGTTGCCAATAGAGAGTACATCGACTATTCAGGATGTAACTCCAAATCAAGTCACTGAAATGATTGACGTTATGGAATCGATTCACGACATTTGAGAAGCGCCTTCTTGTAAATTGTTTTGCGATCGATGAACATCGTTTTCTATTTCCCACGTTCGTCGACTCATCTGACGTCAACTGATTTTGAAGCCACATACATAGGACAAAGTGGACGACCTCTTCAGCTCCGTTTAAGTGAACATCAATTAGCAGTCAAACGTCACGACAACTCTTCGCTTATATCAATACACACCGACAATTATGGACATACTACATTCGATTGGAACAATGTGGAAATACTGGGTAGGGGGAGGACAAAGAATACTAGAGAAGTTATAGAAGCTTGGCACTCAGGTCAATTAGCAATCAACAAACACATCGACATTGACCCAATTCATCAACCAATCAGGAAAATTATAGGTGACACGGGATCAAGAAACAGATCAAAAGGGGGGATACAATCAAAACAAAGGTGTAAACAGCGACAGGTTTAAGGTCAATCACAACCAATCAAGATCGAGGTTAGCAGAACAAGCTACAGGTCAAACGTGGAGAAATTCGAATGCTTCACTTCTGCTATCTAAAGTTTGTGCTGATGATGTTGTTCAGATGAACAATGAAAGCTCCACAACCAAAACAACCAGCTCAGAGAACGAAACACCACCACAAGCCACTTATGTACATGTTCCATAACCCTTGATTGCAAAGTCCGATTACTCCTCCCTAAGTACGTGTATCCACACAAACATGTAAATTGGTAAATGCAATGGGATGAGATGTATTCATCATTCGAGTAACGTTTAGGTATATGTGAAATCATGGGCTTAGTCTTTTCAATCATAATCAGTTTAGCAGAGTAGTATATTTTTTCTATGGCTGCTTTTAGTCTCTGTCTTAGACTATTAGACCACCTCTAAATGGTAAAGTGATATAAAGCTTTTTCTTCTCAGCAGAATGAAAAGCTTGCTTTGGTCTTAACTGATTTCAGACCTATTGATGAACTTTAACGGATAGCCATTTGAAATCAATACTTCAGTTAAGAATTTTGCATCGCCGTCAAATGTATCCGTGGCGCAAATCCTTTGAGCCCTATTGAAGAGGCATTTTACTAAAACTCGTTTACATTGCAGTGGATAAAAACTGCTGAAATTTAGATATTGTCTAGTCCAGGTTGGTTTTCTATAAAAACAGAACGCTTTATAGTTCCATTCTCCTACTCGACTCAACAGTATGTCTAAAAAAGGGCAATCGGTTATTATTTTCTCTACAATATTTTGAAGTCTGTCCTAATGTCAATCTTATTACCCTATCTCACTTATGTGTTTTACGATCAATTAAACATAGTTTTCTATTTCGCACGCTGAACGGCTCATCTGATGTGAACTGAAATTCTGAAGCCACTTCAGTACATAGTCCATAATCCTTGATTGCAATGTCCAATCAGTTTCTTATTAATTTTCATATCAAAATGCCTTGACAAGTATACAAGCATATGCGTTGTGACTAGATTGTTGGGAAATATGCACAGTGCAAATATATTATAACATTTTAACAGATCAAATTACATCTTCTCACCACCATTGTTGCATACTACTCATAAAATCGATTCTTTTTTTTTCTGTAATCGTTTATCACTGTGATCAGTTTTAACCAAATGTACTTTTGTTTTTCTCAGTGTATTGCTGCGTCATGGTGTCAGTGTTGTGTAATTTCGGTTTCTGTTTGAATAAAAGCTAACAAACATTATACTACATTTTAAACAATTCATTCTAATGTAATTTGTTTTAACAGTTATGTATGTTTTTTTTTCTCAATTAAAGTGATAATGTGTTACTTACTTACTTACTTACTTACGCCTGCTACCCCTAATGGAGCATAGGCCGCCCACCAGTTTTCTCCAACCAACTCTATCCTGGGCTTCCTTCTCCAGTTCTGTCCAATGTTTGTTCATTACTCTCATATCTTTCTCTATTTCTCGGCATAGTGTGTTCTTTGGCCTTCCTCTTTTCCTTTGGCCTTGAGGGTTCCGTGTGAGGGCTTGTCTCGTGACGCCATTAGGTGCTTTCCGCAATGTGTGTCCTTTCCACTTCCACCACTTCTTCCTGATTTCCTCCTCCTCCACTGGAATCTGGTTTGTTCTCTCCCACAGTACGTTGTTGCTGATAGTGTCTGGCCAACGAATACGAAGTATTTTGCGTAGACAACTGTTAATAAACACTTGTATCTTCTGGATGATGGCTTTGGTATTTCTCCATGTTTCCGCTCCATACAGTAGAACTGTCTTCACATTTGTATTGAAAATCCCAATTTTGGTTTTGGTTGAAAGTTGTTTGGAGTTGCAGATATTTTTCAACTGTAGAAATGCAGCCCTTGCTTTGCCAATCCGCGCCCTCACATATGCACCGGATCCATCTTGGTTTTCGATGATGTTGCCCAGGTATGTAAAGTTGTTAACGTCCTCCAAGGCATCTCCATGAAGAGGGATTTGGTTGGTGCATGTTGTGTTGCATCGGAGAATTTCGCTTTTTCCGATAATGTGTTAGTTACCCCAAAAGATTATAAAGAGTTGGAGTTATGAAATAACTGACAACTCAGTCAGTTAGTCAGTTACAATGTAGAGCTTCGTACGTATGTACGTATATCAGTTCCAGTAATTGTCAATTCAAATCTCACAGTCTTAGAGGTACTAGGCGTATAAGCAGAAATCGGAAAGATTAAGGTTCGAAGATATTATTCGAGGACTATTAACTTAAAGAGATAAAGATGAAGGTGATGAGAAATTCAGAAGATTAGCATTTCAGGGGACACAAAAAAGTAGGTGTACATGCGGTATTGCAAACGATTTGGAGTCATGTCATTCATGGTCTCTCATTATCGATTACTATCATCTCACGGACCCCAACCATGTTGTAGTCTACACCTACCAACACGGTGCAGTCCAATTATCAATGACTTCATGGATGGAGTGCTATGTTTTCGGTTTGGCCTCTCCTAACCTTTTTTTCCAGCCTAATCCTAGATCATAAATCATTTCTCGTCGAGGCTATTCTGTGGTTGATTTGTTTATGTATGGCTAGTTTGAATTTTCTCCGATGACATATGTGCCTTTTTGTACGAATGGCCTCCGTAGTACTATTAGGGGCTATAAGTGATGAGTCTTCATTATAACGAAACATGTATCCTAACTTCCAATGACAAATCACTAATCCACCTCTGTTTAGATTATAAACTATTTTAGATGTGTTTTTTACGTGTTTCATAAAAACAATGAGCATCTGTTGATGACTGACTACAGTCTCTCGCAGAGTTGATCTTTATTGTCGTCATTATAGTCGTTGGAAGGTGTATAGCATTGAATGACGTTCATTATTATGCCTTCTTTCTTTGTTTCGAAGTATGCTTTAATGATCATGGGTCCATGCTATTCCAATCCTATTATTGCCTTTTGTGTTTATTTGTTTGAACAGCATCAGTGCAACTCCTTGTGTATGTGAAGCATTTCCCTTTTCATGGCCAGAGTATAACAGCAGTTCCCCTGAAGCTAGTCTCATTTATCCTTCCCGTGTCCAATGCGTTTCATTGATTCTAAGCACCTCCAAATTGTATCTTTTCATCTCCTCAGCAACTTGGATAACTTTCCCGGTCTCCCGCATTACACGAATATTCCATGTACCTGAATGAATAGTTGCTCTGGTTATCAGAAGGGCCATTGACCTCCTGACCTCCAAAGGAATTCAGCTTTCATCATGACACATCATAACTCTTCTTCTAAATGAAGACCTTTTAACTCCGAGGGGCAGCGTTTTTTTAGCGAGTTAGTTTACTACAGGATGGGTCCGGTAACCCCACGTCCAACCCTCCTCCTTTATCCAGGCTTTGCACCAACAGTAGTCCTACGGGGGCTTCAAGCGGAGTTGAAAATATATAAAGTAATAACAATAATAATGGTAGTGACATTAGAAGACCATAGTATAAACAATGATAAAATTCTACTTCTTCTGTATGCCTAGTTCATACTTCATTTTTTCATTGTTTCACAACAGCTTCTACTGCTTTATAAAGTAGTTAGAAATCAATAAATTTACTCTGTAATCTAATCTACTATTACTGCATCTTACATATGTGTTGGTTATTAGTCTTTAACTTGATATATTGACGAGAGTGTTGTGTGTGTGTGTGTAACCATTATGTCAAGCCCATATGGTCAATCGTCCTAACTTTAACACTAACTAATAATTATTCTATTTTTCAAGTTCTCTGACCTTGTTAATTATTGAATATATAACCTTGGATGCCTTGAATTCAGTGTGTGTTCTGTGTGTTTATGACCTAATTCGCTTACCACACACACACACACACACACACAACAAGCCTAACAATGAGTGAATTATGATTTCAGTAACAAACAACTATCTCTTTAATAAAAAAAAAACCTAGTGACCTAGGTTCGTGAAGAAATTCTCGGAGTACTAGTGAGAAGACGTAACTAGTGGAGTTCAACACCCTGTCAGGTGTATATATTAACTACCGAGGACAATGGATGTGGTCGTTAAAAAATCTCCAGATTGATCAGAGTTATGCATCAACACCATTGGAATTCGGCCCACTGGACTCCTGCACCCCGCAGGATTCGAACCCAGAGGTCGTGGATGCGCACTGCTGAGGAGTTCCATACCAGGACGAAACGGCCGTCCAGTGCTTCCAGGTTTCTAATGCTGGTCTAACATTGATTGATTCATGGTTTCAATAAAACTTAACAATCTTCACAACCCCATAATACAAATTATTATTTAACTCATCACTGATGAAGTAATTTTAAACTTTCAGACTTGAATAAATTATTTTATAGCCTTGAACATTGTGATTGTGAATAAGTTGTTTTAATCGGTTCCTCGTTCTTCTAATTTTTAAATCAGTACAAATATTTATTACTGGAATCATGAATCATTCATTGTGTTAGACCACCATTAAAAATCTCTGTAAGCATTGAAAGACGAGTGTTTTGTCCTAATGTATGGGACTGATCAGTAGTGCATATCCACGACTCCTGTCTGCTCGCTGTGTTCAAACCGACGACCTTCGATCTTGCGCGTGAATGCCTAACCTCATATTTATTAATCAGCTTTTGCAACACAGCTTCGTCTAAACCGAATAGTACTTAATTATTAGAATCAATTTTGAAACGTTGAAGAAAATTTCTCTAGCTCAGATGGAGGATGTATATTCGTGGTGGAGTTTTTCATTCTCTTAATTTTGGATGTTTTGATTGTGGCACTTTCATCATTGTGCTACTTCTGAACAATATCATCGTTAGTAAAAACTTCAAACAGATATTCCATATGTTAGTAAGATTAAGATTGTTTATGTTAACGGCAAGATTGATATGAAGTGTGTATTGTTCACTTGAATCAATGTATATACACATTCAATGATATATTCTGATGGGGAGGTAAGTGTCCGATTGAATTAATCATGTGTTTAGGAGATTTATCATGTTATTCAACCCAATAATGTTGAGGATGTTAGATGGATCCACAGAACTCGCTTGATAAATATCTTTATTTTGGATTTATTTCATGGACCGATCAGGTGACCTTGAGATTACACATTTCCCACCAGGAAAATACTTGACTATGATTGGTTACAGTATCATCTTAGTGTGCTATTTTTGTGACTGTCCTAAGGGTGTCTCTATAGAGTATAAATAAACGCAATTTGAGTGCTTGAATTCATTGCGTGTGCTGGCTGGGTGTTTGTAGAATACACTTACTACACTATATCAATACTTCTTGCTGGTACAATTGGGTCAAGGGATCATAATAGCCTACCTAGATGCAGGTTCATTGTTTTGTTCTCGTTATTCGACAAAGATGAACTCGTAATAGTTTAAACATACTTAGAGACAAGCATAACAAATAGTTAATTACAAAAGGTATATAATCATTTTATAGGTATGTGAAGATCATTGTCTTTCATAGTAATCATATAATAATAGAAGCCTCAAAAACAATTGGAAATCTCAGTAGTTTTAGAGGTTAAGTATTCCTACTGCTAGACCGAAAGGGTCCTGAGTTCAATTCCACCCATCTAAAATCCATAGATGTGCTCTGTCATTGCGCCATTCCATACTTTCTAACACTAGTCTAACATCGATCGATTCATGATGAAATAGTGAAGAAAATTTGTAGCTCAGGTGCATGATTATGATGGTGTTTCGTTCTCTAAGTTCAATGTGGTTTGATTGTGGAGCTCTCATCATTGTTCTTCTGTTGAACAACATCATCATGATGTCAATACATTTGATGATAACCACTCTAAGAAAAATGCCTCGACGAGCTTTGTTTTGTAGTGTAGGAATAGGTTGGAAGAAAGCTAAGGGGCGGTCAAACCAAAACATGGCAGAAATCCATGAAGTCATTGACAAGTGGACTTAGCCATATTGATAGTTGTTGACTAACTGGTTGGGGTCCGCGAGATGATAATAATCGATGGTTAGAGACCCTGAATGACATGGCTCAAAATCGTTCGCAATCGCGCCGGTGCATTTATTCTTTGTGTTCTCTCAAATCCTAATCTTCTGGATTCTTCAACCCCTTTTAGTTTTGTCTTTCTAAACTTTTCTCACTGAATCATACTTCTTGAATAATATCTTCTAATCCTAACCTCTTCGATTACTTCTGTTACATTTACTACCTCTTCTACTATTGGATTTGAATTGACAATTATACCTCTGTGCTGATGTGGTATGGCAACATGAACTGATGCACGTAGATACGAAGTTCTACGTTGCATCTGATAAGAAAAATCAGTTGAACTAAACATATTCCTTGTTTTTTTGCACTGCTATTAACTATGACTTCTTTCTATTTTTTGTCATTTTGAAAAGATGGCGCCTTTTTTTTGAATTCATCGCTTATGGTTTATTTCGTTTCGTTTTGTTTTGTTTTCAATTGTCAATTTTTAGTTAGCTAACTTGTTTCTCATTGGTTCACCATTAGCATTGTTTATCTCAGTGAATGATTTATGCCCTACAACATTGAATTATTCATCGATACAATCATCTACAAATTCTATTTATAATTTAGATCAAGAATCAACTACAAATGGTTTACATTCTAATATGCATAGTGTCTCATCAATGACATCGCCAATTACAACTACAAGCACAAACACATATACACATACAGGTATTGATTTGGATGAAACTGATCCAGAGGCATTATTTTCATATTTTGCATGTCGTAAAGTATTTAATATCTTTCATTCATATGATCCGGTGGTAAGTATATACAATAATTATCATATTATTATTATTATTATTATTATTATTATTATTATTATTATGTGTATATTAGGATTGTGACCAATTAGACTTCGTGTGCTGGTACACGGGTATGAGGGTGGAAGTCACTTCCTGGCTGCCAACACCGTGGAAGGGTGTTTCTTGAGGGACTGGAAAAGGAAGATAGGTTAGTGTTGGTCTTAATGAACTAGGAGTAGGATCGAAGAGCCCAAGGGACAACTGCTTGAAGTCGATCACTCACGGCCTATTTATGAGAAGTATTTAAAATGTTGGCCCCGCTCTTGTTTAAAAGGCCTCATCACCGGAGATGGAAATCTGTGAGGTAAGGCGAGGTGTGAAACTCTTTGGCGTCGACCTTTTCTAAACCCTTCCTTGCTTGTAGGAAGGCAGCATCGCCTTAGGAACGAAACACCTTAGTGCTGTCACTTCCCTCTACAGTCAGTAGTATGACTTCGCCCTCAGACCTTGAGTAGCTGCTTTTAGTCTCATCGTTTTCCAATCAACCTGCCTGGCATGGTAGAACCTTCAGGAACATATGTTCCAGCCAATAGAACTAAGATGGGTCATCATGAAAGTCAAGCCTGACCACCACTATGTCAAGGTAACACCTACGGTCAGGTAAACTAAAAATGCCCAAAACCTTATACATAACTTTTTACAATTGGCATCTATTACAACTTTATGAGTTTTATAAATTTTCTCAATTCTCCTCCATAACAATAATTATGATATAATCATCTCTTCTCACTCACTCACTCACTCATTCACTCACTCACTCACTCTCTCTCTCTCCATCATATGCATTCAGCTGTTTTTTCGTTTTTTTTGAGAAAAAAAATTATCACTACTTACTATTCATAAGAAAAGAAAATACAAATAATATGATCTTTTGATGAGTGAGTGCATGTGGTGTGAACAATCATTTGATTCACACTGAGATAGACAAACCGATAGATAGATAGATAGATAGTTTAGTTTAGTTTAATGAATATGTTTATTCTCATTGTATACAAGTCATCAATGTGACAACAAGAGTGGTGTTTCATAATATGACTAGTATGTGTGATCATCGTTTTGTTGGGGCTCAAATTAAAAAAAAAAACTGCATGACAATCAATGATGTGTGTTTTTATTTTAAAATTAGTCTAGTCAAATGATTGAATTTTTATTATCTATTGATTCTTTGGTTGAATTTTTATTATCTATTGATTCAGGGGAAATATTTGCGGCACAGTTTTGCAAGTTTGCGTTTTTACACATTTGAAATCATCAATCAATCAGTCATTGTTAGACCACCATTAGAAGAAACCTGGAAGAAGCACTGAAAGACGGCCGTTTCGTCCTGGTATGTGGGACTGATCAGTGGCAGTGTGCATCCAAAGATAAATGGGTGAAGTCGCGCAAAATCCGTAGATCAATCAGAGTTAGACATTAACACCGTTGGATGCCAACGGCCCAGTGGTCCGATGGTAAGGCATTCGCCTACAATGCCAAAGGTCCAGGGTTCGAATCCTGCGGGGTGCAGGAGTCGTGGATACGCACTGCCACTGATGAGTTCCATACCAGGACGAAACGACCGTCTTTCAGTGCTTCTTCCAGGTTTCTTCTAATGGTAGTCTCACAATGATTGATTGATGATTTCAAATGTGTAAAAAAATAATATTTGATTAAATTATTGGTAGACTAATAACACATTAGAAACCTAACAGCACTGAGAGATGGCTGTCTAGTTCTAGTGTCTGAGACTGACCGCTTCACTTATCTAGGGAATCTCATCAGTGCTGATAGCCTGGTGACTGACGAAATCTCAGCGCGGATACAGTAAGCTCGATTGGCCTTTGCCAACCTGCGTCACTTATGGCGTAGGCGTGATATCCGTTCTCTAACCAAAGGACGAGTGTACTGCGCAGTAGTTCGCTCCGTTCTCCTATATGGATGCGAAACATGGCCGTTAAGAGTAGAAGATGTTCGTAGGTTACTAGTATCCGATCATAGATGTTTAAGAAGCATTGCTCATATATCATGGGACAACCGAGTAAACAATGCTGTCGTTAGGAAACGAGTTATAGGTAGGAATGACAAATCCGTAGATGAAGTAGTGAAACTTCATGAGTTGAGGTGATTGGAACATGTGTTACGTATGCCTAACCACCGACTGCCTCAACGAGCTATGTTTTGTGATGTAGGAGTAGGTTGGAAGAAAGCTAGGGGTGGCCAAATCAAAACATGGCAGAAATCCATGAAGTTACTGACAAGTGGACTGAGTCATGTTGGTAGATGTAGGCTACGAGAACTCTTAACCTCTAGACCAATGGTGTTCATGTCTAACTTAAATCAATCTAAAGATTTAGCACAACTCCATCCGTTTTCTTCAATAGTTACTGCCTACCGTCGACAGGATCAAATTCCACTGACTAAGTTTTCTCATTAGAACTCGGAGAATTTCATTATGAAGCTAGTCACTAATGAGCACTTTATTATCCCCTTATGGTATTGTACAGATTGTTGTAGTAGTTTGAGATCATAAATGAATTCTGCGAGTAGCTCGAGTCGTGGATGCGTACTGCTGATGAGTCCTGTACCAGGACGAAACGGCCGTCTTTCAGTGCTTCCAAGTTTCTTCTAATGGTGGTCTAACAATGATTCATTCATAATTTCTGTGTGAAAGAATGACTTTCATAGTACTATAATGAATATATATATGCATATATATTCTACCTAAGTTACGTTTATCTCATGAAAGTAATTGTTTCTGCTTAGCTATTTAAATCACGATATATAAAGTGTAGGTTTGATGAATTATGTTTTCTGGTTAGCAGTTTTTAGCGAGTCAGCTTTTTTTAGTGGATGCGGATGCCAACATCATGCCCAACCCTCCTCTTTTATCCGGGCTTGGGACCGTCAGTAGCCCCAGAAGGGCTCCAGGCAGAGAAAAATGTTTATCAGCAGTTGTCTACGCAAAATACTTCGGATCCGTTGGTCACACACTACTATCAGCAACCACCTACTAAGGGAGAGAACAAACTAGCTTCCAGCAGAGGAAGAAATCAGGAGGAAGCGGTGGAAATGGATAGGATACATTGCGGAAAGCACCTAACTGCATCACAAGACAAGCCCTCACATGGAACCCTCAAAGTCAGAGGAAAAGAGGAAGGCGAAGGAACACATTACTCCGAGAAATTAATAAAGATATGAGAAGAATGAACAGAAATCGGACAGAACTGGAAAAGGAAGCCGAGGACAGAGTAGGTTGGAGAATACTGGTCGTCGGTCTATGCTCCATTGGGGGTAACAGGCATAAGTAAGTAAGTAAGGTTTGATGAGGTGGATTTGAATCTTTGACGTGCTAGTCAAATAGCTGAATGAATCCATTATCCAATAAATCACTGAAAATAATCATCATCATTATCACAGACAATTGAATTATGAAATAAGAATTTCAGTATAAAAGAGATCTAATGGATATCGTGGAATCTTCGCTTACAGTTAAAATAATGCATTGATCTAAGCTTGCTTACTTACTTACGCCTGTCACTCTCAATGGAGCATAGGGTGCAGACTAGCATTCTGCAATCAGCTCTGTTCTGGATCTAATTTTCAGTTCATTCTTTTGATGTTTGCTCCTAACTGCCGACGCAATTTGTTTTCTCTTAGTCTTCCTCTTCTCCTCTCGCCTTGAGGATTCCGAGTGAGAGCTTACCTCGTGACGCAGTTGGGTGCTTTCTACATTATGTGTCCTATCCAGCTCCAACCCCTTTTTCCCTTTTCTAGAATCCGGTTCGTTCTCTCACATAGTAGTGTGTTGTTTATGTTGTCTGACCAACGGATACGATGTATCTTGCGTAGACAACTGATAATAAACACTTGTATCTTATGGATGATGGCTTTCGTAGTTCTCCAAGTTTCCGCTCCATACAGTAGAACTGTCTTGATACAGTTTCAAATATCTGTGATATTTATATTAATCAAATGTTCAGTAACAACTAGCATCAACAACAACCAAAAAATCAACATACTGAATAAAGCTAGAAATCAACATCGTTGAATGTAGGCATGGCAATCTGAATTTCATGCTTTCGCACATGTGACTATCTTGAGTTCAGTTCTCGTGTGTCTGTGTGTGGTAGTATATTTGCAATTTTGAAGAGTTCTATGCTCGAAAGACACGACGATCTAGTGTGAATAATAGTTTCTTACCTATATGCAAGCCCCTGACCGTAGCTGCTACCTTGACGTGATGGTCAGGCTTGCCTATTGTGATAACCCAACCGAGCTATATTAGCTGAAACATGTTCCTCTAGGTCCAACCATGAAATACAAGTTGATTAGAGAACAGTAAGATTAAAAGCATCAACTTAAGTTCTGAAGGTGAAGTCGTACTGCTGACTGTAGAGAAGTGTGACAGCCGTAAGGTATCTCTCTCGGACAATCAACACCAGAAGCGATCGTCCCTTCTCACAAGGAAGGGAGGGATTAAAAAAGGTCGGCCCTCAAAATTTTATATCTCACTTTCTCTCACTGATTTCCGTCTCCGTCGGTAAGGCCATTTGAAGAGTGGAGCTAACTCTTTTCGAACGTCTCATTAAAATTTAGCTCGCCACTGGCTACAAGCAGTTGTCCCTTGGGCTCTGCGATCACGCTCCTAAGTCGCTAACATCAACACTAATACAACTACCTTTTCAGGCTTCTAAAGATGCATCCTTCCATGGTGTGGGCAGTTGAGAAGTGACATCTAACCTCATACCCGTAACAGCATACGAGATCAAATTGGTTACAATCAAACTACTACCTCTACCACTGTGGGATTTGAATGAACAATTACATCTCCACTGTGACAATGTGCAGTGACAACCTGAACTGATGTACGTACTTACTTTATAGCTCACTGAATGATAGACATGCTAATTTAGAAGCAGTCATTATCACTGAACTGTTCATGTTTTTTCATTTCATCATGCATATGATAAAGATTGAAA